ATATTTATCTCGAATTCTATATTTTCAAAGAGGAGTAGAATGTTCCCTTTCTTTTGCCCTCTTAGAAATTATTTCCCCATCTAAGCTTTAATTTTCTAGGTGACATGACACTTTTCTTGATGTCTTCCTTAATCTAATTTCAATTATCTTGATTCTTCTCTGATTATATAAAAAAGAACATCTATCTGACTTTTTCAGAAGTCAGTTCCTAGAAAATATTTTCAACTTTCTTCAACCTTTTATGTTTTACAAAAAAGACCCATCACATTTTGCAGGGCTCATGGTTAACAGGACAATAAGAACTATGTACCAGGGATCCTGCCATACAACAGGAAATTCCCTGGGTCTGGAGAGAGAAGATTGTGGGTGTTCATGTTGTTATTAATTGGCTATGTGACCAGAAGAGAAAATCTCCTTTCTTGTGGTTCTCTTCATTTGTTTGTGTATAGTGGGCTAAAAGTTCATAGGCTTGTACAAATGTGATCAACTATATAGAAAATGAGCTGGCAGTTTTAAAGAGTTTACAGATGTTAAGAGGAGCAATGAAAGAAGGAATGTGTTTACAATGAGTCCTGTTTGCCAATTTCAGCCAACAGGATACCTAGATATTGTAGTGTTATCCAAAACTGCTTGCAAGCAGATGGTGTTTGTGGTGTAGCTTTGAATCTTCAACCACAAGCATATGTCTTTGATGAAATCACTCCTTTCTGCCCAAACACTTCCATAGGTTCTCACAATCCAGAATCAAGTTGAAGCTCTTGCTTACTATCTTTTGACTCTAAGCTACTCTTCCAACCTTATGTCCTCTACTTCCATTTATAGACCCCATTTGTTAGTCAAAATAAATTACCTCCCATTCACCAAATATTCTCTAAATTTCCTATCTCCCCGTTTATCCACCACTTAGAATATTCTCTCCCCTGTTTCTTATGTCCTAGTCTGTAGGGTTCAGTCCAAATGTCATTTCCTTCATGATATTTAACTCCTAAATTCTACAGTATTCTTGCTCCTTTTTTAAATTCCACAGAACTTTTACATTTATCACTTTACATTTCTTCGTTTTCGTATTGCTATCTATACAACCAATTTTCTTCCCATAGTACTTAAGTTGCTTGGCCTGATACATCACACCGAATAGAAAGTCAGCCAAAGAGGAAAGTATGGACTGAGAGAGACAGCATTCAGTGGATACAGAAAAGAGAAGATCAAAAGGAGATCCCAACTCTAACTATTTTTATGAGGTTGGGGATTTGAGATAAAAAAGCAAAATTGGTAATCTATAAAATTCTGAAGGCAAAATGTCTAGCAATCATTATGTAATTGTGTAGTTTATAACTTAAGTGCAAAGATAATTTGCAGAATCTCAAAGTCACTACTGTATCACCTTAAGTTCTGTGGAAACTAAAATTTAGAAAACAACGTAGTCATTAACTTTCTGGAATTAATTGATTGTAAACGGCAGACTGTGCAGTTTTCTAAGGCAGCACAGAGAGGGAAACAGGATGATCCTCTGTCCAGGGTGTCCCTCCCAGCTCAAAACTAATTGGTGATGTTAGGTACAGGAAGATCAGGAGACGTGAGGTTGAGTTGGATGACTCCTAAAGCTTCATTCTTAATTTTGTAATTCTCGATCCCTGAATATTTTTGTGTCTTTCTTGAACTATCATCAAGGATGTGTCAGATGTATCATGTTATTTTCTCTAAACAGACTCCTCAAAGGGCAAGTGCAGAAATGAGGGAAATGTAAAATGACAAATACAGAAGCTCTGCTTCATACACTTCATACGACAGGTCTTCCATTCATGGTTTAGTTAGCATGATCATTGGGTGATTCAGGAAGTACAAGGCAAAAGCGTTCAATTCCTTCTCCATACAATCCTACTTACTATGCATTTCTGATAGCAGGAAATGATGCTTGGCCCTGTGCTTGACAATGTGCTCAAAAGATTCCCATCTTACACTTTAAGAAACTTTGCTTTTATTGCTGATCCCTGCACATATCGATAGTGTGCCAAGAAACCTGAGTCTACTCTCAGGTGGAAAGGATCTCTGAGGATTGTGGTTGGGCACTGACGGGAAGGAATTTGAATCTCACTTTTCTAGCAGAGCAGAATGGTAAGGATAGAATCTGCTCCTGTTGCAACTCCTTAGCCAAGAAAAACATTGGAGTGGGAATAATATAATCACAGGTTTCTTATATTTTTATCAATTGAAATGTATTTATATCTGCCTGTTTAAAAAAAGAGAGAAAGATTTGCTAGGGCTTCATTCAACAAACACTGTGCCAGGCTCAGATGCTCCACCAGGCAACAGAATGGAGAAAAGTACACTTTCCTCTAAAGCCGCACCCTTTTTGGTCTAAGGATAAGGACTTTGTTTTTGAAATAGCCTAGAGAGACAGGACTAAAACAACTTGCATTTCCTGATGTTTTTTAAAGAGTTTTTATTTCTCACAAGTAGATTTACTGGATGAGGACTGGGTCAGCCAAACTTCATCAATATGAAGCTAACATTCCCTGTGGTTGAAACATGAGGCCAAGCCAGGTGACCGGCTGGAGCCTGAGCCAGCTCCATTCAGGAAATGCCATTCGTGCCTGTGCACATGTGGCACTGAGTTCCTTCCTCTTTACTAATGTATCTTCATCAATTGAAAAGATGCCTTCCTCTAAATAACCATCTGAACACATCCTCTCTGCATGGAATATATTTTTGTGTATATGTATACATGTCCTTTTGCACTGACTTCATGGGCTAGGCATGGTCTTATTTAATGGGCATTTAGATAGACTTTTCACAGGGAATACGGGTGGGTTTCCAGGGACATAGGCAGGGCACATGGATCCAAATGTAAGAGAAAGGAGACCGGTTTACCCTTCTTTTTAGTTTGCCTTCTTACCTAGTTTCAAACTTTGTCCCTGGGATTGGAAATGATTCTTGAGTTGGATTTTCCTCAGGAAGGAATCCTCACCTGTCTGGCAATTATAATCACCCAGGTCTACCTAGTGCACCTCCTCTTAAGCTCCCTATGATGTCCCCAGGAAAGTCGGATCGTTTTTCCTTTGCGCCTGGTACTTATTACATTGTTTTGCTTTTCTGTTGATTTAACTTTTTCTTGCCCCTTAATGCTATGACGGGCAAGGGGCATGATATATATATAATATAAATATATATATAAATATATATATCACATGTACAACCCCACACATACATACACACATACCACCACCAACACCACCACTTGTGTTCCTTGTGATCAGCACATATGTGGTTAAATCATATTTGTTACATTTCATTTTAAAATAAAACTCTGTAAGGCTTTCTTTCAGCTGCTGCAAAGGATATTTAGGCTATGATTGGTTATTTTTTAAAGACATCCAAGAAAGTGATCTGTGTAAAAGAGAAAATGACTTCAGGGAAGATACCAAAGCTGATTGTCTTTGGGAAATTAGGTTATAGGTCATTTTTCTACATATACCAACATAATATGGTGAACATAGATTATAGCTATAATTATTATAAAGACAAATATTAATCATATGACAGAAGACACATGAGGTCTTCATCTGTGGCTTCCTGCTTGTTACAGATACTAACAACTGAAACAGGACATTCAAAGGATTTTTCATTTAAGTGTAATACTGCATGATGGGATGCATAGAAATGACACCTCAGTACCAAGATGGCTGCTCTTGGCAAGGGAAATGCAAAGTGGCATGAACTTAATGCAATTTTCGCAAGTTGGATCCTGAAAGTTCATTAGTTATCCACTGAGTCCTCTCACCTCCCCACCTTTCTGCTCAACTTCACTTCTTAAAACTTGAGTTGCACTGACTTATGTTCATGTTCATTGATTCCCCTGAATCAGTGCGTTTTTAACTTTTGACTATGTTTTACAGAAAGAAATACATTTTACATGGTGATCTATTGCACACACAGAGGCCTGCTCCCAAGAATACATTTTATGTGCTATTCCTCTCACTTTGGAGGTACTGCTCTAAAAATAAAAATACTCTTCCTAGTCCACTAAGTTGATTTGATGACTTGCAACCTGAAAATTATTGTTTGAAACTCTAAGGACTTTGAGGCCAGAAACATGCTTTATTCATATCTGTATCTTACAGTGCTTTCACACATAGAAAAAAATGTCAAGAAATGTTACATAGAATTTTTTTTTCCAATCCAATGAATAATCTCTCGGCCAGCACTGCTTAACAATCTTTTGGTTCCCCCTACTGAGTGTTGAGTAGCACAGAGAACATAACAGCACTGGTCAGTTACTTGAAGAAGGACCACAGAAATCTCTAAGATTATTACCATAACATTTTCATTAAAGGGGGGACTAAGGAAAGGGGGAAAGAAAAAGGAAGAAAGGCAGAGCCTGTTCTGCTCATCTTCAAACAGAACGTATGTGAACGATCTGGAACAGAGAAAGGCTAGAGATCTGTCAAGTCTCATGCTGGCCAGCTTGAGCTCTGTGTGATTTACATTTTATCATTGCTAGACAAAACATTGCTAAAAGGGAAATATGTTAAATCAAAGTGGCAATTGAAAGTAAAATAGTATTTCTTTGATTTCCAGTCCCATCACCTGAACCTCCAGCATATTTGTCTTCTAACAACTCCAAGTAATAAAAATGAGCTTAACTTGCTGGAAACCAAGGTATGCCCATTTCTTCATTTGTTTTTCCTATAGCCTTGCCTTTAAAAATACAACCTTGTGTATGTATTAAACTTTAGCCTACATAAATTTTTAAAAAAAGAACCATTTTCCATTGGAACCTATTCAAGACATACTCAACAAGTGTCTTTGAGAACTTGTCTGTTTCAGGCATAGTGTTAGATCTCATGGGGCAGAAAGGTAAGAGAAACCTGAGCATGTCTCAGTCCATTTGGTGGGGACAGCCATGGACACTGTTAAGTTTTGCTTCCATATTTAAAGTGTTGTACCATAGGTGTTAGCAAAGAGTTGTGGGTATACAGAAAGAAAGCCACTCTTTTTACCTTGAGGCAGAGGTAGAAACCAAAGGGGGCACACACAGAGGAGAAGAACTTCAATCAGAGCTTTGAAGACTGAGGGGTGGTTACCTGAAGTGAAAGGGAAAGGAGCATTCAGGTTAGTGATCACCAGATGAACTTGGTTCCTGCAAGCAGTTAAGTGCAGGTTGCTTTGGGTTTGTTGAGTGAATGGACATTTTTTTTTTTTTTAAATGGTGTAAAGGTTTCTGGTGCAGTGGAGCAGAAATAAATTGATATCAAGTTGAGAAGAAACTTGAGTATCATGATATGGCGTTGGGAATTTATTGGCATTTAAACATGTACCACTTTGTTTATTCTCTAATTGCTGAGTGCATGCAAAGCTTGTCTTCCCCAGTGTCATGATGTGGAATTGTATAGCTAGAGGGGAACTCAGGTTATTTATCCCTAAACAACTAATTTTATACATGAAGAAACAGAAGTATAAGTCATTTGGTTAAAAGGGTCTTTTCCCAGGGATTGGAGACAATTCAGACTATTTGCATATAGATAGAAAGCAATCTTCCTGCTGCATTGTATTGACTGGCTCTTACTCAAAAAGAAAAACAGCTTACTGTTTATTGAAATTGAACAGGAAGGAAGTGCAGGGAGCAGGGGGGTGTACCCAATGATAATCTCACTATTCAGGACACAGAGGAATTTGGTGTAAAGGTAGCTTTGACTTGGACACCTTCCCAGGGAACTGAACTACAGAAGTACCAGAAGAACTTGGTAATGAAGCAGTTTCTCCCTGAAAGTAATCACCAGCAAGAGCCTCTGCATTATAACAGGGCAATTTTTTGCATTTGGTCAAGAATAGTATAGATAGGATGTCATCCCTTCCTCAGGGATTTAAAACAAAATTCTCCTTAATTAGTGGACAGGAATTCCTTTGTGGTAACAATTAGTTTTGGAGTACAGGCCAGATCCCATGAATATCCTGAGTCTGAGTGTCAGCCTCCCTCAATGGTTCCTATTTCATTTTTAAAAAAGATTTATTTATTTGCGCATACAAGAGCTGGAGTGTAGGCCAGAGGTGCAGAGACATGAGAGGATTCTCCAGAGACGGAGTGGGGCGCAGAATAGGGCGATCTACACTGTTGAGGGGAGCAGCGAGCGAGACAGGAGAGGTCTGCTGCACCATATGAGTCACCTCCCTGGCCAGGGATAGAACTCATGCTGCAGTGGCTGCAGATAGCTTCATAGTGCTGAGACTTAACCCCTTGTGCCACCAGGGAGGCCCAGTTCCTGTTTCTACCCCCACTGGGATGTAGTATGAAGATCACATAGATGTGATCCAGGAAGACCTTCTGAGAAGTCACCATCTGGAGGAATTGGAAAGATGCCTCCTCTCATTTGGCTCTTTGCTTCTGGTGAATCAATTCCTGATTTCCATGGGTTTCAAGCTCTTGGTTTGAGGGCCCTAGCTTGAGCCCAGGTCGTACTCCTTCCAATAAAGGACAAGGCCTTGGGGCCCCAAAGGGACGGACAAGAAGCCTGCTGAGAAATACCTCATCCAGAAGAGGGACAGAGTCGAGGTAATCAGGTAGATCCATGGGAAAAGTCTCTCTTCACAGGGGCGTGACCAATCACTTAACTCGAGTCCAGGCTCAGCCCAGCCCTAAGATAGGGGAAGTTGACCCACATCAGATCAACACAAAGGCAGAGTTTCACTAAATCTCTGGGAGGACTGAGTTACAAGACTGTGTAGCCTGTGCAACTGTGTCCTGCGTATCGGGCCCAGCGCAGTGTCCAGAGGGCTGAGGATGGCACGTTCAGATAAGGAATGGATGCGGGGGAAAATGCCTCTACTTCATAGACAAAATCTAGGAATTTATCAAGGGAAAAAAGTAATACCAAGTTGAACAAGTAGCCACGGGAAGCTAGACGTCCTCACAGGCGGCACAGACTTGAGTAATTATTTGCTTTTCATACAATGTGGCAGCTTTGGTCTCAGTTTGACAAAATTGTCAATGAAGAACAAGAATCTGACAAAACTGGCTGGCAACTAAGCTGGAGAAGCTCTGCCTCCTCCAGAACCAGGAGGTCGACATGACAATGGAGGGACCACATAGGTGCACAGGCAGCGGTTTTCTCTCCAGTGATTTTACCAAAAAACATTAAATGACAGATTCTGCCCTGGATCACAAGCAGGTAAAGTTAATTCTCTTCCTCATTTCCATAAAGGTAGTGAGCAAAAAATGAGCATGACAGCTGAGACATAAATGGAATGGTCTTTTTGTAAATACACAGAGAAAGGATATCATACTAAGAATGCTAATGCCTACTTGCCTTTTGGACAGGATGTTTCATAAAAACTTGTGTTTTAAAAGTTTTACTGTGTAATTGCTGAAAGAATAGGAAAACATGGCCAGTAGAACACCTGATTTCATCACAGGGCACTGAGTCACATCCCCAGAATGGTGCTGGCAAGAGTCACCCTTCCCCCAAGTTGGCTCTCTCTATAAGTTGGGGTACCTCCAGATCGCACATTTGCTGCTATACTTCTGAATTAATTTTCATAGAATGGATATCTGTCACGCCAACTGTTGAACTATAAATGATCTCTTTCCTTAGGACTCTCAACTCTTCCACCAGTCTCTGTGATAGTCCTTCTCTAACTGGAGACAAATCTGTGGAGGATGCAGTATTCTGAGAGTGACTGTTCCTTCTGGTTGGACAAGAAGATATTTACAAAGCAGTCAGTGCCAAAAGATTTTGTTGAAGATCTGAAGCTCAGAGACTAGCAGCCTGCTACACCCTCTCCTGGTTCACCTAAGCCCTGGGGTGTGACTACCTCTGAACTTCACCTCTCAAGGTGACTACGGGGACTCAAAGAATTAAGGATGGAAAGAAATATATTATTTAACACCTTCCACCTAGAGTTAAGAAAACACATGAAAAATTGTTCAACATCACTTATTGTAAGAGAAACGCAAATTAAAACCACATTGAGATACTACTTCACCCCTACAGGAATGACCCATATAAAAAGGGATGGAATTAACAAATGTTGGTGAGTTTGCAGTGTAAAAGGAACTCTCATCCACTGCTGGTGGGAATGCAAGCTGGTACAACACCTGTGGAAAACAGCACTGAGATGTTTCAAGAAAATAAAAATGGAAATCCTATTTGACCTAGCAACACTGCTATTGGGTGTCTATTCAAATAACATAAAATATTTAACATGCAAAGATTTATCTACACTTATGTAAACAGTAGCACTGTTTACAGTTGCCAAATCTTGGAACCAACCCAAGTATCCTTCAACAGATGAATGGACAGAGAAATTGTGGTGCATATATTCAATGGGATATTAAATAGCTGTGAAGAAAGATGAACTGGTGGCATTTGGCACAGATGCATAGACCTTGAGGTGATTATGTTGAATGAAATCAGCCAAAAAGTGAAAGACAGATAATGAATGGTTTCACTCATCTGTGGAATATAAGTACAATTACATGTCAACAATAGAAGAAATAAAAATTTGAACTCAGCAAAAAAAGAAGATAATGGTTATCAGAGGAAATAGAGAGTAGGATAGAAGAGAGAGGACATAGGCAGATGGGGTAAGGACATGGATGGTTTGGTGGAGACAAAAAAAAAAGTCCAGTTTTAAAACTGGAACTTGAGTATTTTAGTTGGCATTTAGTTGGCATAGTTGAGTAACATAGTTTAGTAGTCTACTTAAACCTGTTCCCTGTAGGTAATACATACTTAGGCAGGAACCTCTAGTATGAAAAGAAAAAAAAAAGAGTTGGAAAAACTCAGAAATTAAATGATTTGAGCAAGAGCCTACTGGCTGCTCAGTGGTATGCTGAGGTCAGCCCTGTATACCTACTCCTGGTCCATGCTCCCACCTGTCAGATGCTTTGAGCTCTCTGGGTGACATACTCTGGTAAAGTAAATAATGCAAAGTTGTACAGCCTTACCATTTTTAAAATGTGCTTTTAAGCTACAAAGCCCACATTAAAAAATAATACCAAATGCAAAGAAAGACAAATTTGAAAATCTCATCATGAAACGAAGAGGGGAATTTTCCACCTCCTCATGCAACTGGTACTGAACGTTCTGAAATTGGGACTGAGGATGCACCAAACAAAAAATACAGTCATTTCAGGGAGTGAGAGGCTGCGGCGGTCATGAGCTGGGATGGCTCAGACACACTGGCTATCCCCACTGCCCACACCAGCAGTGTCACTAAGCCACTCTCAACCAAGTCTGTTCCACAGAAACATTTCATTGCTGAATTTTGGTGACATCACATCAAATTTCACATCTGCTGCTTTACGTTACACACCTCTTAATTGAGGCTGAAGAGCAAAGAATGTAATGCATTTCCCAGCACTTTCCATATATTATCTATTTCAATCATTACAACAACCTTGAAAAGTACATATTTTAATCTCTGTTTGACAGTTATAAGAATAGAAACTCAGAAAGAACTTCTTCAAATACATGGAGTCAATAAGTCAAGAGGACAGGATTAATTGAGTTCTTTCTGATTTTAAAATCCATGGTGCTTCAAAAGCCATATTTCACACACAGTCCATCTTAAACCATAGTTCCATGGCATGGTTACGATTTTATCATTAAAAAGAATTCCTTGAGGGGGCCTCCCTGGTGGCTCAGTGGTTAAAGTCTCAGAGCTATCAAGCTATTTATCGCCTATGACATGAGTGTGATACCCAGCCAGGGAGCTAACCCAGATGGCACAGCAGACCCCTCCTCTCTCTCCTGCTGCTCCCCTCAGCAGTGTATTTTAGTAAATCCACCTGTTCTGCTCCCCACTCTCTCTCTGGTGAATCCTCTCACTCCCTCGCACCTCTGGCCTATCCTCCAGTTCTTGTATCCTTAAAAAAAATTGCTTAAGTCACAGAAATTTTTAATAAATATTTTTCACATTCTTTGAAAGTAGAGGTGGGTATGGTATTTTGAGTAGAGAGAAGGAGTAATAATTATAGGGAACTCCCATTAGTGTGTCCCATTAGTGTGTCCTCCTGTCAGGCAATGCTCCAAATGCTTATTTTTTTTTAAAGATTTATTTATTTATGCATACAAGAACTGGGGTA